ACGCTTGGGTAAGATAGAATATCCTAACTATAATTACATTACAGAAGACACTTGGGTAAGATAGAATATCCTAACTATAATTACATTACAGAAGACACTTGGGTAAGATAGAATATCCTAGCTATAATTACATTATTGAAGACACTTGCGTAAGATAGAATATCCTAGCTATAATTACATTATAGAAGACACTTAGATAAGATAGAATATCCTAACTATAGCTAGATGTACTTCCGCACGGTCCCCGAAAGTGTTCTGTTTCAATAGTAAATAAAACCAAAATGAAAAGTAACAAATATTTATATTTCTTGCTTTTTTAAATTCATATTTCGTGCTGTGTTGTAACTTACAGAGTGCTCGACAGTCAACATTGCAACGTTAAGCATCCCTTATGTGACGTCATTTTAGTGTCTATTGACTGACAGACAACACACTACTGTACAGTGGTGCGAGTGGTTAATGAAAGAGACCCCTTCAGGCGGCCTTCGGTCCCCTTCCGGGGAACTTACATTACAGACGATATTAAGATAAGATATCCTATCTATAGCCACATCTTAGAGGATATCTGGGTAGGATAAAAAAATATATTTAGGTGGGATATTACGGAAATATGTTTTCATATTTTATAAATCATCTTTAAAAAACTAAAGCTAGTAATGTATTTGTCATTTTTGAACATTTTGCTTTTAGTTTCTCACCTAATCCATTCACAATGATGTGTTCGTCATTAGTGTGGATGACATCGACGAACTCGGCGTCAGAGGGATCAAGATGGACCTGTGGATCAGTTTTTTGGAAGTAAGGACCAGCCGGATCAAGTCCTGTTAAAACAATTGATGGAAAAATAAAATATGTTTAAATTTATCATAATAAATAATCAAGATAATTATATAAGACCTTTCTTTCAAGCAACATTTTATTGAACTTAATTAATTATTCATTTGAAATTCTTCCAAACGTTTCAAAATTCCCTGCAATTATAGGTAACACTAAACCTATTTAGAGTTACTTTACAAGTTAGGCCCCAACTTAATATTTTTACTATAATATATCACATTAAGGTTACCGTATATTAGATTAATTTCACAGAAAATAGTCACTGTAGAGATAACACATAACTGAATGTGTAGCTCTCGTCGTAGTAGACACACCCTTAAATACATCCATTTCAATAGAACGTTTCACAACAAAGACATCGTAACAGGATTATTTTAGTGAGAGTGTTACAACAAAGACACCGTTAAATTGGACAATTTCATCGTAAGTGTCACAATAATGATACCGTAAAACAGAACAATTTCATCGTAAATGTCACAATAATGATACCGTAAAACAGAACAATTTCATCGTGTCACAATAATGATACCGTAAAACAGAACAATTTCATCGTAAGTGTCACAATAAAGATACCGTAAAACAGAACAATTTCATCGTTAGTGTCACAATAATGATACCGTAAAACAGAACAATTTCATCGTAAGTGTCACAATAATGATACCGTAAAATTATTGTGACACTTACGATGAAATTGTTCTGTTTTACGGTATCTTATTGTGACACTTACGATGAAATTGTTCTGTTTTACGGTATCATTATTGTGACACTTACGATGAAATTGTTCTGTTTTACGGTATCTTTATTGTGACACTTACGATGAAATTGTTCTGTTTTACGGTATCATTATTGTGACACTTACGATGAAATTGTTCTGTTTTACGGTATCTTTATTGTGACACTTACGATGAAATTGTTCTGTGATACCGTAAGACAGAACAATTTTATCGTAAGTGTCACAGTAATGATACCGTAAAACAGGACAACTATAGTGTAAGTGTTCCAATAAAGACACCGTAAAAAAGAGCTATTTCATCGTAAGTGTCACAACAAAAAACCGTAAAACAGAACAATTTTGTGGTAAGTGTCACAATAATGATACCGTAAAACGCAAGTGTTACAATAAAGACAACGTAAAACAGGACAACTACAGTTAATGCAAAATAGCCTCTATAATAAAACTAGATATATCAAATACTAGCTGGAGTACCCGTCCCCTGGACGGAAGTTATGTAAATTCATGATTAATGAAAGGTTATCTTAGGACATTAAAGTTGCTTCTCTTATATGTAATTGAAAAAAAAACACGCAAAAACGCCCATAAAAGCTGCAAAACACAAAATGTAAAACCGAAAATCTGTATGTATCTCCCCATGGACCTAATGAACCTCCATACCAAATTTGGTGAAGATACATCAACAGGGGGCGAAGTATTGGTAAAATAAAAACCACATTTCTGAGAATCTGTTTGTTCCATCCTTCCCCGACTACAAAGTTCCTTAATTGATGAGTTTTC